GGGCTCGCTCCCCGGGCGCAGGCTCCGGGGATGCCCCGGCCCTGAGCTGCGCTCCCCGGGGCGGGCGGGCTGGCACAGGCGAGCCGGAGGGCAGGGACCGGTCCCACCGCCTGCATCTCCCCCGAGCCTCGCTCCTCCGGTGAGACCTGGCCGGTGCCCTCCGGGCCGGCTCCTGCCCCTTCCGTGGGTGGTGGGGGCCGTTCCTGCCTGTCGGTGTTTGTTAGGAAGTGGTGAAGAGAGTGGCTCCTTTTGAAGTGCAGCCCTGTCAGCTCCGAGTCCCCTCTCGCTGATCTCAAAGTGCCGCGTAGCTCGGATGAAAGGGGAAAAGCACCGGCTCCGCAGCTAACAACCTGCTCGCTAATTATTTACATCCCACCTGCTTGTCTCTGGCTGCGTACATAGGCATAACAGTGTCTGTCCCCATCCCCTGTCATGTTCCCATCTGTGGTCCTGATGCCTTGTTCATTTAGGCACCGTGTTTTGGAAGGTTGTATAAATGCAAATATGTAACTGCAGAAAGGAGACAGACTGACGCAGACGTGCTGCTCCGGCCAGGGTGGAGGAGCTGCCCGCAGCAATGCTGGGTTGTGCTCCAGGCCCCTGGTGAGGAGCACGGAGCCCAGCTGAGACAATCTTGACGTAGTGCAGTCAGGGAGGGCTCCAGGGTGAGATCTGCCGAGGGGTGAAGCTGCAGGGAACGGTGAGCGGGGCACCGGGGCCAGGCATTTCTGTCTAATGGCATCCCTGGATGATTAAAGGTCTGCTGGGTCTAGCAGAGCTGAGGGAAGGTGCTAAGAGCACCCCTCTCTGTGTGTACTGCCCTGGGGGTGCTGCCTCCTGAACCCAGAAGGCTAATAAACCATTCCTTTAAACTGTAAAAATTGGAGGAGGATGGAGGAGGCTTGGAGGGATAGAGGGAGCCTTCTATTCTTCTAGAGCAAACCCTGTGTCTCCCAGCACAGCAGATCTCCATTTCAGCCGCCTCTGCACAGCCGAGAGTCTGTAGCTATTAATGAAGTGTTTTCCTTTGTCCTTAAGGAACCTTTCCCACACACAGCACAGCCTGATGCTCCTCTGCTCTTGCTTTCTCATTAGCCCTGAGCCCTGTTCATTGCAGCGAGGCCACGCTGGTCGAGGCTTAGGGTTCGGTGCTGCTGCTCTGGCATTGTTAAGCTGGAGCAAGGGGAGGAGGAATCTGCTCCCTTTGTCTGGCTGCAGCACAGCTGGGGGCTGATCCTTTGCTTTCTCCCTCCAGAAAGGCTGAAGAGAATGGCAGACAAAGCAGCGTCATGGGAATAAACCTGCTCTAGGACTTAATGAAGAGATGTCAGGGACTGGGGACAAGGCTGGGGGGAGACGGTCAGTAATCAAAGCTGGGGATGTGCCCAGCATTTAGAGAGGGAGGGAAAGAGGAGCTCTCTGAGTCGCAGCACAGAGAGAAGCAGGTCTGGGTCAGTTGCCTTTGTAGTGAAACCCAAGCTCTCATCACCAAACAGGATCCCTGGCACGTCCCCAGAGCCGCTGTGTTCCCAGCCAGCGGTAGGTCGCTCTGCGGCGCTGGGTGCTCCTGGCTGGGGGTGCTTTTCCCCATGGTGGTGCTATGCAGAGCCAGGTTTTTACAAGAGCTTGAAACCTAGATGTCATTTGGACTTTTCCAGGCATGGTTCCCACCCTGAGCAGCTCTCCCAGGAGTTTGTTTCCATGTCTATCCCGATTTCAGGGGCTGGGGGGCTTCCTGAGCAGCCGTGAGCTTTCACCATGACCCCCGGCGTGCTCTGCAGCCACTTCCCACTCTGTCTGCTGGCTTCTTCCCAGAATCTGCTGGGAAAGGTAGCTGCTGAGACTTCAGACACTTCCAGCATGCCTCTGCTGCACCATGCTTCCAGATAACACCCACTCGGAGACCTCTGTACCTGAAGAATTGAAGCACTTTCCCTAGTAATAATGTCATTTGCTTTTTACCAGCAGATTGTAAATGGCTTAGCAAACACAGAGGTAACCAGGCAGCAGGAAGGCAAGAAGAGTCGTATCCATAATTACATAGTCAGTGGCAAAAGCTAGGATCAGAGGGTAGGTCTGATCTGTCCCTGTGCCGGGCTCTGCTTGTGGGAGCCTACCACCTCGGTACAGCCCCTCCTATTTGGCTTCTGGTGGCTGGAGTTCAGCCTGGTCCCTGATGTGGCTAAGGGGCCTCCTGGGCTCTGCCGGTGCCTGACCCCCGCTGAAGGAACCTGGCTGTGTTTTCAAACCAATCTTTAATTATTTCAAGAAAAGGTTTCAAACTTTTAAGCATGCTTCTGAGCTGTTCTGCTGGGTGGCAGAGCAGTCTGTGCTCACGTGGCAGAGCAGCCCAAGATGCGGCTGGAGGAGCTCTGCTAGTTAATCACAGAATAAGAGATTTAATGAGACTGCTGCAGAGGCCAGGAAAAATCAATCCATAATTCAAAACACTGAGTACGTTACAGCCTCTTGCCTTGAACGCACTATTTGAGCGTACACCCCAGGTGTCCACATATGCAGTGTGAATGACCCTAAGCAAAAGCAACCTAATTGCGAGGACTCAGAGGTAGGTATGCGTGCATCCCATCCACAGCACTTGCATTGCACCCCAAAAATGGCTTGGTCAATGCCATTCCTGACCCCCAACCCCTCCTGGGCTCCCCTGCTATTGCTGGACTTCTCTGGGGGCTCATCCATGGATGTCCTCTGGACCAAGGGCGTCTCCCTCATGGGGATGATGGGTGTCCAGCAATCAGCAGCGAGCTGTTAGGCAGCACCAGGTTATTTAAAGTAGCTTCTAGGCTCATCAAAGACTAGAAGGAGATGCTGTGGGACTCCAGCAACAGCCACCTTCTTGCCAGCCACCCAGCCTCTGAGAACCAGCAGCCTTTCCCCTGGGTCCTCTCGGCTTGTGGGAAATCCCCTCTAGTGGGTTGAGATTCCCTCCAGGAGCAGGGAAAATCCTCCAAGCTTTCCCATTACCTCTACAGGCTTGATGGTGGCATTCACTAGTTCCAGCATGCTGGCAGATACGAGCTGGAGGATTAAGTCTCTCCATTGATGGTTCTCACAACTGCACCTTGAATCCTGCCATTCTCTGTGTTGTTTCTACTGCTGTGGGAAATAGGAGGCTGCAGGAGATAATCTGCTTTTGTTTGAAACAAAAGGGCTGTGCCTGCCCTCCAGGTGATGGAGATGTGACCGTGAGCCAAGGCTGGGGAGCAGGGAGGTGAATCAGAGGCACCCTGGCTGTGTGTGTCGGGTTGTTTGTTTTTAAGCAGTGCTGCGCTTGTTTGGGCTGAGCGGTGCTGGACGGGCTCCCATTCTCCTCCTAGTACTCTGAACGGCAGATGGCATCCATGGGCTGAGCCCAGGCTGGACCAGCACCTCCCAGGCAGGCATTCTGCTACAGCCAGGGGCCTGTCCTGCTCAGGCGGTGCTGGACCGTGCTGGTGGGATGGCAGGCTGGCTCCAAAATGCCATTTCAGTTTGTGCAGGGATCCTGGCTAATAGCATAAGGATCCAGCAAATAACTTGATGTGGAAAGGATGTTATGCATCTCCTCCAGTATTTTGTTCCCATGAACAGGCATTGCCTCTGAGTCCAAACACCTTGCAGTAGCTATGGCAGAGCTGAATTCTCCTCTCAGGTCCCCCAGGCAGGTAGTCTCTAATGC